TTTTGTGGTTTCTTTTGATCTCGCCTGAGAACAATTACCTTGCCTCTCTGTCGAGTCTAAAGACGAAGCAGCAGTTATCACGGAGGTATATTGTTTCCAACAACCGCCGCGAAAAGTGACGCGAAATTCTCATCAATCCAAAAGGGTGAAAGAAAAAGATTCTCCGAGAAAATCGATTTTTCCTTTTTTTTTTTTTTTTCGTTCAAGCGACGAGCGAGTTGTCGCTTCAGTTGGCGGCTTGGCAAAGGACAAGAGGAAGAGAAGAAAAATAAACGTTCGCCAACCTTAGGCAACGTCGAAATAATCGTTTTCACTGCTCGGGACAAACGCTTTCGAATTTCTCGCCTGATATTCGACTCTGTTGATCGAATGAAATGTTGATGAAAGACTTACGAATCTGCTGTGAGCTGTTTCCCCTGCCCCGTGCTGCTGTCCAGCTCGGCAACAAGCACAGCGGAAGGTGGTTCCTTTTTTAGAAAGCACCAGGTGTGCGCGTACCACTGCTGTTGCTCGACCTCCTCTTCTTCAGCCTCTTTTCTTTTCTACTTTTCTGCTTTCTGCTGCTGCTGCTGCTGATGTTACGATGTTCCGTTTCCTACGTGGTGGGATTATGGCTGTTGGCGACGAATCCTCGAGCTCGAGCATCGACGATGTACTATACTCCTCCGATGTACTATACACGGCTCACGTGTGTGGTCGCGCGAGCAGTCAGCGGTTGGTCAGTTTGGCCAGAGGCTGAGGAACAACGACGAGGAAAAGGAGGAGGAGGAGGAGGAGGAGGAATAGCGTCGACGGCAACGACAACGACGGCGTAAATTCCGCGAGGAACGAAAAGGGTGGTGAAAGAGAACCACGCGAACAAGTAGGCCGGTTAACCGTTCAGGCCGCACTGGCCAGCCGTGGCAAGTAAGGGTGAACTGGCCTGGCATCCCCTCTGCGAATTCACCCCACTCTCTACCCTCTTCGGCTAGCGGTTCCCTCTCTCGTGTTTCACCCCCAGCATCCCCACCCTCTTTCCCTTCTTCCTTCTTCCTTCCCTCTTTCTTTTCGCCTCGTCCTCTCACCCTTTACACCCGCTCTTGCCTCTTTCTTCTTTCACTTTTCTCGTCTCCTTCCCTTCCCCTTCGCACAAGCACACGCGCGTACGTTTAATCCTGTAGTATACTTGC